TGTTGGCTAAGCTTGACTTTAACGATCTACAGGGATCCCGATTAGGTCATGAAGCGCATGCACGTAAGACACAGGCAGACCCAAACAAATTTTCACATTTGGAGTCAGAGTGTGGTGGAATCAAATGCACAATTTACAGTACCACGTCGCATTTGAGCAAGGTAAAGTGTTGCTGCTGATGGTCTGGAATTGTCTCATAGAGGACTCGCCCTACAGCATCAATGCTCGCACCAAAATCAAATATCAGCACAAAAACACGACGATGCTCACAATGGCGATCTGACCACACCCCTCTGTAGCCCACTCTCTAACGAATTGATTAATATTCGTCTTCTTCAAAATGGCACCCTTGCATTTCACTATTCCATTCAGCACCAAATTCACGGTCCGATTAGGGTTGAGTGGAGCAGCGATTGATGCTACTTGGCAGGCTGTTTGATGGATTGTCCGTGCTGCCGATCGATCGTCGCGCCGTGCACCGTGCAACTTCCTCCTCACCATCAGATGATATCAGTCGATTGCCACGCATTCAACCCAAAACCACTTGTTTGTGTCGGAGATCTATATCAGATAGCTCACTGATAGTACATTGGCTGATAATCGTGCACACATAAACTTGATTACTGACTTTTGGGCATTGACTCAGGCTTGAATAAACGGTTGTTGAAAGCCCCGGCATGTTGTCTGAACCACGCCGGGGCCACCGCGACAATCTAGGCCGAATACGTTACCCTGTGTTCCCGCAGAGATAAAGGAGACCAGAGTTGAGAAGGGCACAAACGTTCACTCGACACCTCAACCAAGTTGTGTCCGTATACTTTTACAGTTGAATGGACATGTAAAAATGAACACAGGCGTCTGTGAGGTCACATGATCAAAGTGGGTGGTGGTGGTGGTGGTGGTGGTGGTGATACATTCAGAGGGATGAATGAACCAGCCGCCTCACATGACTGACGGGCAATGCGTGAAAATGGGGGCGTGTCTTGGAGGCTGCGACGACTGGGTTATTGGACGTGAATCAACACGATTCACGACACGGTCGTTGCTGACACGTGGTGCCACCACTTGACCATCCACTGAGGGCTTGACTTACAAGGATATCAGCGAACATTATCATTTGTAAGCAGCTGCGTCTGCAGTAAAACCACAAATCTACGACACCATCAACACTCCCAAATCCACACTCTTCAGTGTCGATTAGGTAAAGCACGCCTTCTACCACTCGGGCAGCGCCACCCACAAACACATCACCTTCCGACACCTCATGCCGATTAGTTCGAACTGCTTGAACCGATTAATCACAACGTTCCAATTCGGAGAGTAGTCGGTTGATGAAAGAGCCACATCGACTAGGACACATATCAAAACGCGTGAAATGTGTCTGCACCATGGAGAAAGAGACATCCAAACACCTGTCGGAGTCACAGACAAACCCAGTGGCTGTCATCGCCAGAAATCCCATCGATGTTGACTACCTCTTCAGCGGTAGACGGTGAGCCTCTAGAGACAAATCAACAAGCCAACCACACAGCGATTCCCACTCATCCACACTCACCTCTATTTGGCCAACTCGACAGTGTACAGTGGATGAGCCTCGATCAGACTTCCCATGTGGAAGCATTTCCACGTATGCCATTAGCACACAACTCCTAATTAGGACTGACACGAGACGCGGGAAACGCGTCCAAATAGTTCGATGCACACTCACTAGCAAATCAGAAGATATCCTAATTAGGACTGACGCGAGACGTGGCAACCGGGTCACTAGCAAATCACAACGTCTTATTTTGTCGCAACCATGGAACCCAAATCCACCATGTGGATCTTTCAGCCTGCTCAATTCGCCAAGGCATGTATACAAGTACAACAGTCTGGCAACTGAGCATTATCACCTACATGTCATACCAATAGGGCCTTTTGGTGAAAAAGCGTCAACTGAGCACCCAGCATCCCGTGACTACCACTTACCACGCGTGGTTGGCTACGCTAATGCTTCGGATTCGAGAGACTTGTCAACACGTGACGCCGCACAAAACCATGCACTCGAGTGCTGCCTATCCAACAGAATTCGCCATTAACAGCGAATAGATGAGACATAAAACCTCCCAATGTTGACTGACCACTTTGATGGAAGCCCACAATTTGACAGAAACCGTGATAATTACCTTGGCAATTGGCTTCTTACATCTAATGTTCGCAGAAAACTTGTCACGGTCATCTGTCGATCATGACTGACTAATCGCATTCTTTTCAACGTCTCGTGGAACACGCTTTTGACTGGAACACGGAAAAGTCGTAACTGGTGGCTTTCAACATAGCCTCCTCATTTTACCCGTTTCCTCGGTTTTACCATTCAGTGGCTGGCCAGGTTCGGCTTTGAACGCACCGAAAATATTCAGGGGCAAGTCGATTCTGAGAATCTTCGAGTACTTTTTAACTCTCTCTTAAACTCCAATCTAAATTATTGGGAATACACTACTTTGACGATGTCGGAGTCGCGAATTTAAGCTTACCTTGTCCCTGACATTAGTCGAATAATCTACCTTCACAAGTGATCAAATATGAGAATATCACGGCAAGCATGGCTATCCAGACAAATCCAAATATTAATCGTTTGATCACCGTAATCAAGGAATCTTTTGACGGACAAAATTTACACACATTTAATGGACGTTTACGCAGACAGCCGCCACCTGAAAATAATTCCCTAATTGTACACGATCAATTATATCTGCTATTATACAAAACTGTAGAACGCTCGAGCCCAAGTATGATGAAGACTGGTGAACCAGACAGGCTTTATTGACCGACCACAAGCCAGAACCACTCGTCAGGCACCGTCCATCCGAGTCCACCACGCTGGCCTCGAGCCTCATTATATACTGCTCCTCATTCGAGTCTTCCTCTAGTTGGCTGCCTATCTTCCTCGCATCCCATTGGCATGCAGAGAGACACAGGATTGCCCGAGGCCAGGTGGTCCACTATGTCTGCGCCCAAATACGTCGCCACACTGCCTACCCCTCACGAGTGAAGGTGGCCTCAGCTTCTGGCTTGGTTCCTTGCACTGTTGTTGATATCCAGCATTGATAAAATATCCAGTTCGACATTCCCAACACCCCACATCTGGCAGGATAGTGGCCCATGCGAATAGTTGACGAGGGACTTTGCTCTTGTAGACTTGCAGGAAGGACTCTTCATCCATCTTAGGTTCATTCACAGTTGCAGTCCATCTGGCTTTTACTATCCAAGTCGTCGTCGCTGAGTTGCCAATGCCTCTTCAGATGCAGTAGTCCTAATCCCGGGTAATGTCAATGGATCCAGAGTATTGGACATCGGATGACCACCATGACATCTCCAGCTGGCATCTAAGGGTTTTTGCCGCTGTTGTCCATAGAAGAGGAATTGCTGGATTTCGATTCGCGTTATTCGAACGCATCCGCTACCACCAATGTAGATTTCCCAAGCCCTTATCGCAAAAAGACCGGTACAACAGAACACGCTCTATTGACCAATCACAAGCCAGAGCCCCACGTCAAGCGCCTTCCATCCGTGTCCACCACGTTGGCCACGCCGTTCCTTATATACTGCTCCTCAGTCGTGTCCTTCTCTGGTTGCCTGCTTATCTTCCTCCCATGCCATTGGAAAACAGAGACAGGATTGGCTGAGGCCAGGTGGTCCAATATGTCTGCGCCTTGATCCGTCGCCACACTACAATTCCACAGCTGCAGTTGCTATTTGGCTTCTGCAATGGGGTCTGAGTTTCTATCACACCATAACCACGTGGATAATTGCAATGATGTTTCTTCATCTTCAATAAAAAATCATTTTGGATTAACAAGTACGTAATTTAAATTGCATTGTATCTGTATAGTGGACGATGTATCAGAAGGTGAAAAATTGAGCCGGGTTTTCGACGAATCATTCGTACGTTTAAATCGCAACTCTGTTGTTGCTTTGAACATTGCATCTAAACTAGAGTACACATAGACACTCTAACGTATGGAATCAGGAGTTTTATTGTCCATAGCCGGCCTAATCATTCGACGGAAATTTACACTTGGGCAGAAATCGTGGTTTTGTTGATGGTACCTTTCGTTTTTTTGGCTTTCAGTCTTCAGGTAGAGTTTAGCTGGTTTTCTGCCACTAACATGTTTTTCCTTCAATTGTTATTTCACTTGGGACGAAGCCCTGGGTTACTGTTTCATCAACTCATGGTGAAAAGACAGTCTAAAATTGAAATCCTCAGGTCACCCCGTGTGCTAATGCCCCTGTTGGGGTTGTTTCAGTCTGATTTCACGTTCTCTTGTATTGACAATTCTTGGGGAAAATATGGTATTCCGTCAAATCTATCTTCTTTACAGTTCTGTTTAATATTCCCATGTCTCTCACGTGGCAAGGTTTGGCTGTTTGGAGTCTTATGCTTGCTACTGAGATTCTACACTTCGTTTATGTCATTGTTTGTATTGCAATGTACCTGCCACTGATAGAGCGTGTGTCTTATCAACTTTCCTTTGTATCCGATAAATTCAAAAAAAAATAAAAGGAATCACTAAATTCAATTGTTAATTTAAGTAATTTAACAAACATGGATGAGGAATATTTTTGGGAAGTCTCGTATTAAGCTCATTATAGACTAACCGAAATGGCATCGATACTTGTATCCTCCTTAGTCGACAGGGTTTGAAATCTCACGTTTTGTGGTCACTTACTATTAAGGAATGATTCCCATGTGTGCGGCTCTCTGCACATAAGTCCATTACGTGCGTGTAAATTTTGCCCGTCAGGCGATTCCTTGGGTACGGTGATCAAAAAAATTAATATTTGGATTTATTTGGATAGCCATGTTTGCCTGCGATGTTCTCATTTTTGATCACTTGGGAAGGTAGATTATGCGATTAAGGTTAGGGACCATGTATGCCTAAATCCGTGCATCCAGCCTAATCAAAGTAGTGTCAACTTCCTATCATCTTTTACATAAATAGTCCTTCTTTCTGTCTTAGTTGGACGCTGGGATACAGTTGTCAGTCCATGAACTGGATGAATATGTTCAGCAGTGTAAACGCATGTACCTGACTTCACATGACAAACCACAGGCCTATCAGAAATTCCTTCTCAAGCGGCTTGTCGAGCTACGAAGACTTTTACACAACATGAAGGTATTAATAATGCATCATGTTTATTTCAGTGTTGGCGTCCTTGCCTTCCTTCAGATGCGGAGACATCACACAATGGTTTTTAGCGTCAACGCAAACAGAATGTGTTAAGATTTTGGTGAATAACTTTGGTCCAGCGGTTGTATCAAGCTGAATATGCTGGGTAGAATTCAGCCTACTATATCAGACACTTCAATTTTTTGTCTAATGCAACACCGAAATAATGCTAATTATTTCATAAAGCTAAATAAAACCAAATCAAGGTTGGGGCGTATCTGGGTGTGAAAAATTCGGTATTTATTAAAAAAAAACACTCACCACTGCCTTCAATTAATGGCCTAGCCGATGTCAGGCGTTTCTTTATCATAGCAGTTCCACCACAGTTCATAAATAGCAACCGTGCCTGCTTTTCATCTTGCATTTTGAAGTAAAACTTCCATTCCACATTTTTTCACGTACAGATGCTTGAGCCGTAATAGCAGGTAATCACCTCAATACCAAGACGAAAATCCAAAATTTTGGCTAATCACTAAAGCCAGTATATTATTTGTGCCTAGGAACGTGAGCACCACCTAGGCATGTACACGGATGTCCAGAGTCCCACTGAGGTAGCCCCATCCGCCTCGCCAACAATTGTGAAAGGTCATACATTCCATGCGATTTCTGCCCTTCGTCTTCTATGGAAAGTTTGCGAGTCTTGTTGTCGGAGTGTCAAGTCGCCGGCGGGCAGTGTCCTCCTGTGTCGCGCTTGCTCCGTTGCCTGCCACGACTCCCCAGCATGCGTTCGCGGTCTCCTCCGCTCGTGCCCCGCCTCGACTATACAGACTGTGGAGGCTTCTAAACTATCCTACCTTGGCGCCAGTCTGTCGAAACAGTCCTGGCATTGCTGGAGCTGTCGCGTTCGTCTTCGTCCGCCTCAATTAGATCAACTTCCGTCACGGACCGTGTCTCCACACGATGCTTTCTCAAGTCATCATCGCCACTCTCCTCCATCTGCCGAAATGCTCGAAAGCATCAGGAGGCTGGAGCACGCGTCGACAGCGGAGAAGTTCAACCTCAAATGCCTAAGCAAGGTGATGGAAGAAGTAGCTGGTTTGTATTCATCCAAATTGGGCCCTGTGCTGACCCACACAGACGCGAGGGTTGTTGCAAGTTGCGTCCAGGAGGCGGGACCGACAGACACGAGTCCGGCCCAACTCTGCTACTACTCAGGAAAATTTTTTTGTGCAAATTGTCATTGGGGTGACCTGTGGCAAATACCAGCCAATATTTTCACCCTTGGCGTTACCACCCCTCATCCGGTATGTCCTGTATCTGCTTGATTTATTGCTAATCGTTTTTGGCAAGCCTTGCTAATTTATTACTCCAAGCGCTCAATGTCCTACTTACATCTGCGTTACCTCTGAATGATTTCCTGTTCAGTGCCTTTCAACTAGCTGTTGATTACTTGGACACAGATGCACACGGCTAAAGCATGGTGCTATTCGCATGGGATCGGTACAGGTGCTGCATACGCTTGCGTCACTCTTTGGCCAATTCCAGTCTCAGGTTGATGTTGTGACTCGTCAAAACGCCACAAGCATACCGCTTTTTAGTTCCCCTGGCTAACGTAGCCATGGTGGCCTGTAAATAATTCAAAACATAACTCCCTCTGACAACACCAATTTTGAAGGGCAATCGCTGTTTGGAATTCAATCTAAATGAATGTTAGCTATTCCTCTTCTCTGCGTAAAAGCCTCAAATGTGGTTTTAAGTAAAGCTGAATAGGAAAGAATGCAAGGCTCCGAGCTAGCTGCGCCATCTTGACTAGCCCTGAAACAGCAGACAGCGCCAAGCCGATCACTACACTACGAATCCCACAAGGCCTGTGCGTAGGCATCACACAATCGTAGATTACGACTACCTTGCATGCCAATTTTAATCACGCCAGTTGCACCCCACAAGACCATTAAATGTTCTTAAGCAAAAAAAGTAGTTAAAGTTAACTGCGTTGGAAAGTGCACAACGAAAAAGTCAGTCCAAATGACCTCATCTCTGAACAGCGACAAGTTTACATAGACATGACTCAGGCGTACATTTATTAAGACTGGAACAGTCGCGAAAGTACTTGCAACAAGTGTTCCTGGTCACGCGTATCACCCTTAAGATCTTCTTTAAACTCGTCTAATTAATAACAAGTGTAGCTTTGTAGTGTTTGCCCAGGCCTCGTGTTTCTGAACTCTCAACACTGATTAGCGCGACTCGTGCCTTCAGAGCCAAACTGTCATTTGGGCATCCAGTGGCCGAGCCCAATTCGAATCACACTGTGTGCCTGGCTGGTGGCCGTGAGGTTGACTGCCAGGAGGGCCAGGAGTTGCGTCGCGGTCGGAATTGGTTGCGGTCTCGAAACGCACCTGAGCCGCCAGGTTGACTTGGTCCGATTACATTGTGCGGATAACGGGGAGGGCAGTGTCTTCTGGTTCACCCTACGAAAAAATATGTATTTGCACTAACTTAGATTGGAGTTTGGGGGGGGGAGGTTTAAATACTACTCGAAGATTCTCAGAATCAACATGCCCCTGAATGTTTTGGAGATGTTCGAAGCCGAAACTGCCCAATCACTGAATGGTCAAACCGAGGAAACGAGTGAAATGATTAGGCTTTGCTGAAAGCCACCAGTTGCGACTTTTCCGTGTTCCAGTCAAAGACGTGGCAAGGTGGGATTTATTGGAGAGGAGTGTGGTATTGCTCAGTTGGTTTTTTGGTTATTGTGTTGTAAGGTCTCGCGTGATGCTTTTATCAGCCTCGAATACATGTGGTCGCGCCAAAAATTTCGGGCTCCGGAGGCCTGGCATCGTTGGAACCCACAAGCCGTGCTGGCAGGCAGTCTTCGGGTGCGTGGTCACCGTCTTCTCGAAACGTACTTTCGTGTTTGTGGTGAAGCCGCCAAGTATCGAGGCAAATTGGAAGTAAGTTGGTGCAGCTATGTGTACTAAAAACGTGGGAGTAGTAAAAATGATGCGGTGTGTTTCTGCAGGAAAGCCAACCAACGTGGCTGTTAGAAGAACCCTTCGTATATACCATGTGGACAGTGGAACAGGTTCTGGATGGGTCGCTAATTTCACTCCTGGAGGAATTGTTGCAAGAAATCGAGGACCATGTGAATGCCTGTGTGGTGAGTTTGAGTAATGTTAACGATGACGTCGTGATTTGTATGCACTCATGTGATCAACTTGCCGCGGCTGTGGATCTGGTTTCTACAGCGCAATCCCATGCTTCTCGCCCACCTTCGTCCACGTTGAGTCGTGGACCGTGGTCTGTACTGTTGGTGGTTTATTGTGTGTTCGAGTATAGTTAAATTCTCCTACACAAAGACAGACTGGTAAATTGCTACCTCGACAACCTAGGAGAAGTAGAAAAGCGAGGCAGGTTAATTGCATGAATACGATCAGGTGGGATAAGCTGACAGCAATTAAGTGTGTACTGATAGGAGTGCAATTTTCACAGAGACAGCATGACACCTAGAAATGTAGGGTTGATTTTAGTCCTGTCGTGTTATTCTGCTTTCACAGTGTGATAAAGGGTTTTTTCGGAGATATGCCATCGCAGCATTCAGGTAGTTTGAAGGCATTGCATACGTATTAGATACAGTAGAATATCGTCGTAGGTGCATTCAAACTAGATTTCAGGAATCACTAAACGCGGATAAATGTGGGTGAGGTTTGTGCTTGGAACCGTGGTACCTTATTGTAGATCAATTCTTATTGTTTTGGTTTGTTTTCGTTTTCATTTATTTATTCCTTGCGGTATTGTTTTGCTGGCGGATGCTGTTCAGTGAGCTTCGGTGGCTCATGCTTCTTACAGCAGTTACTTGTGGTTTTGGTTATCAGCAATTTCACAGTGTTCAAAGTTCATGTCTCTCGCAGTTGCGGGATCCGTCTCTGTCAAAACCAAGACATTGTTATCCCTTAGCTGAAAAAACATTGGTCTCCAGTGGTTAATGCCCTTGTTGAAAACGTTGGCGTTAGTTTGGAGAGATTTCGTTGTACGAGGTTTTTGTCCAGGAGCTTCAAGACGTGTTTTGATCCAGTGCAGGTTTTGGATGCTTTGGGTTGAAGACGCCTTCACTAATTCACACCAACCTACGATACGTCGCGAGGTAGTCGTGTGTCACGGTGTATGGGTAAGTATACGAGTCACGAGCGAAAGTCACTGAAGAAAAGTCAATCCACAAGACGGTGAAGGGAATGCGAGTAGTCAGTCATGATCGACAGATGACCGTGACAAGTTTTCTGCGAACATTAGATGTAAGAAGCCAATTGCCAAGGTAATTA